GTGCAACATTGACTCAGAGGTTATTTACTATTTAATTAGAGTGCAATTAATTTCTTTTAGTGGAGTAGAAATTAATTTATGAATTAATTGAATTGGGTCTATGGTTTAATGGACCGGACCAATTATTAATTTATAGGAGCCGAGAAAATAGTAAGCCTAAAAGGATTCTCACCAATAGCCCAAGTTGATATTGGAGTTTTGTTAGAATTGAGAAAGTTGATTTAGAGATGGAGAATGATTTATTGTTTCCTTATTCTTATTTTTATTTTGCCTCTATATACATGGGTCCATGGATATTTTAGGGGTGACTTTAAGAACAAGAAAAATGAATACACTTTCTCTCTCTAGATTTTAGGGTTTGTTTTCTCTTCTAAAGGAGACTACCACAAGCCTAGATTCCAAGGTCGTTCATCAAGGCATATTGGTGATTCCTAAAGGGAAGATTATAATCAAGAAGAAGGAGAAATGATCTTGCTAAAGGAATCTACAATAAGTGAGAACATTCACTTTAGAGGAAAGATTAAAAGGTTTACTCAGACCTTTGATGTAAGTATTCAATCTGTTTATTGAATTATACATCATCTTTTATTTGTCTTTGCATAAAACTTGTCTCTATGTGATGAATCAAGATTCATAATTGCAAATCCCTCAAAAGTTTTTTAAAAATTTACACGTTTCCCAACACTTTTGAGACAAGGCAACATACCAGGAAGAAAACCAAGGATTTAACCAGGAAGGGAGAGTCTCCAAAAAGATTAGAAGCTTTTGAACATTGGCAACCAAATCTGCAAAGCATCACTGAAGAAAAAAGTTATTAAGAGGTTTATTTTTATTAATTGTTTTTTATGTTACATGAATTCATTAAAAAGTGTGTGAAGTATGTGTCAAACACAACACACTTGGAAATGCATATGGGGTGTGCTTGCTGGATTTCGTTTGATATGCACCTAACAAGCATATCAAATAATTCAAAATTATTACATAATTGTACATAAAACTCTCTAATTATATTTCTTTTATTACATTATTGGTCCAAAACAAGTAAAGTGCCTATATAAAACATTGCATATTACATAAAAACAGTACTTTACTCTTAAAACATATATATATATATATATATATAAAATAAATAAAATAAAAAAACTAAATAAAATGAATATTTATCTATTTCTTTATGTCCTTGACAAATTTGACGCTCAAACATGCACATAACAACTAGTGAAACAAAGACGAATAATCACAAATTACAATATTACATGCATGACTCCATGTAACATAGATTGCATTAACTAATTAACTTTCAAATGTAAATATTTAAGCGTTGTTGTATTCTCTATAATATATTATATTAATTAAAGTGTGAAAAGCCTTAAAAAAAACCATATAATCAAAGCATATCAATCCATACTAAGCATGATTACGTATTCAATTTTGGGGACAAAATTTATGTTCTTAGAATTTGGAAAATTGTAAGTAAAATACAGAAATAATCATTACAGAATTCCAGGATGAAGCACAGGGGTGGGCTAGTATTACAAAGTTTTTTTTTTTTTTTTGATAAGTAAAAAAAAAAAATCCTAAGAGCAAGACATGGGATCCTCCCAGAAAAAGTTCAAGTATCAGATGGGTTTAGGAAGACCTAACCCTATTAAAGTGATTAAAAACACAGAATTGCACAGATTTGCTTTGCATTGGTTTTTCAAGCAATAAGAAAGACAATTTCTACAGTTTTTTTTTTCCCCATCTTTTGGTGTGGTATTGAAGCCCACTTAGAAAAGATTAGATGAGATCTGAAAAAGAAAGAGTGAGTTACAAGAGGAAGGAATGAAAGAGTGAGAGTATTTGCTCTTAGCCTTAGCTAGTAAGGAACAGTTCTATTTTTAGAAACCATTGTTGACCCGTTGGGTAAATTTTAGCTTCTGCAATCCTGCCTGATATGATGCATGAGGAGCCATGGAACAGATTTACCAGAGGAAACTCTTCATTAATGCATAAATTTGAAAATCTTAAAAAATTTAATATTTTAATATTGGGTAGAGTTCAAGAAACCCCCTTGTTATATACAAAATGTGCAGCAACTGAAAATTAGTGGAGCACCAATAAGCATAATACATTTTTTTTAGCATAAAGGCCTACATCTACTGCATCCCTCTACAAAGATGGTGCTTCAAACCACTTAAAGTAAACACTTGCAAACTGAAATAAGCAATGTCCCAAACCTAGAATTCTGATGCCAAATGAAGTTGCTTGAAAGATTTATGTATTTAGATAGACCAAAAGGGGGTGAATAGTTCTTCACTTCTATTCAAATTAGTTTATTTTGCCTTAACTAGATTAAGAAAATGACCAAGCAATCAATTAATAGCAGAAGAAAAAACAGTAAAAAGTAGAGATAAAAGCAATTTTTATGTGAAAAAAACCTAATAGGATAAAAACCACAAGACCGTATTATAGCACCAACCAATCCGCTAATTGAAGAATGACAACAACTTTAGCCAATCCAAACTCAACACTTGGAATCACTATAGGATCATTATCAAACTCTCTTGAAGGAGCATTTTATCATTAAGGAGTATTTGATCAATATAGGGATTGCAAGGGGACTCTATTTCAATTTCTACCTCTATAAATTTGATATTGAAGGATGATTATCACAAGGTTTACACAGGCAGTGAGATCCCTTTTTAGGACTACTCGGTCGCCTTGAATATCATTTCTGCAATGAATAAACCTAAACACATAATAAAAAGAGGGATGACATAATTAGTAAGATTGGAAAAAGGTTATTGTCATCAACATCGGTACAAAGACTCTATTTGGATCTACATTTTTCTTCAACAAATTTTTGAAAGACAGAAAAGATGCAATTATTGGAGGTGATCATGAAGCAAAATATCTCATCCATTTAAAGTAGGAACCTTTCTACTTCTTTTTCTTCAAGTCTCCAACGAAAGCAAGCATTTCTCGGAGTATCGCACAATCAATTGTTCTTTAAGTAATTTATCTTACTCTATCACTTCTTACTCCCAAACAAATTTACCTTTTCAGGGTCTCAATTGACTATAAAATACTTAACATGATTAAATTGTTATTCGAAGTCAATAAAAACAAAAAAAAATTCACCTTTTCAGGGTCTCAATTGACTATAACATGTACTTTTCATGATAAAATTCTATTCAAAGTCAATAAAAGCAATGGACTACCCTTTGATTTTTTCTTCTAAACTGAACGGAGATTGATGATTAACAGAAAAATAACTTGTAATCAGACAATGTGATTAAGACCAACTTTGTCTATATAATTAAGCAGATAAGATTTCAAATATGGAACTTAAACTTCAAACCTTTAACCAAACTCAGTTATGTTTTGCAACCGAAAAACCCTAAACCTCATGAATAATTGGATTATGCGCGAGTATTACCTTTTTTAAGAAAGTGGTACGTAGTACCTTTGTTTTTGTAGAGGGTTTTCCTTTCTCCTTCTCAAGCACCATTCTTCAGCTTTTCCAACCCAAAACCGATTACAGTAAAAGTAAGACATTCCATACAGAGTCATTGCAATCACAATCCTTCAAAATGAGAAAAATACGTTCAACCACTAGAAGGATGAGTATTGTTTATATTGGGACGAAGCAAACCTCAAATCTTTTATACTAACAAAAAAAAAAAAAAGGTGGTTGGATCCACTGCAGCGCTCAATTGGGTCCTGCGCTCCGTCAAGCGTAGAGAATGCTGATGAGATGGACGTTATAGGTGGGTCCCATGTGGTGGGACAATTTCTACTAGTAGAAGTAGAAATTTCCATATCTGGTAGAAATAGTGTGTAATAATTTTTGGAATATAAATTTTTTTTAATACATTATTAGTCTCATTTAATTATCATTTTGACACCTAAACAATATATATATATATATATATATATATATATATATATCTAAATAAATCTTACACATTTATGATTCATCACACTATACGTCTGATTATATTTAGGTGATTTAGGGGGAGGAAAAAAAGTTGCAATTTGGTTGACCTTTTAAAAGTACATATGAATTAGTTGATTTTTAACTTTCACAATGCATAAATTATGAGGCACACATACACATGCATAGCCATTTACCAAAAAATTCAAGATTTCAAATTGGATGTGAGATTTAAGTTTCATTTATAACATTCTCCGTATGAAGGACACGTACACATGCATAGTCATTTATCAAAAAAATTCAAAATTTCAAATTCGACGTGAGATTTAAGTTCCACTTGTAATATTCTCTCTCAGAATTCGCAAGTTCTACTTGTAACATTTTTTTCCACCCAAACCCGTGCGGAGGGCCACCCTGCCTACCCGGGGTCGCTTGGCGTGACATCGGATTAAAAACTGGAATTAACTCTAATTCCAACGGTAATGGGTAGACGCTTGCCCATTTATCAAAAAAATTCAAAATGTTGGGTAATGCTACATACCCACCCATTTATACACACTTCAAACCCTATCTAAATCTGATTTGGGGGGGGATAAATACCACTTGTAACACCTAACCATTTGAAGAAACATAAAATACATGTTATTTATAGATTAAATAATTTGGGTATATCTTAAATATGTTTTTTTTTTTAATATAATTTTTGGGTATAAATGTATAACCTCTTTCTTTTTTTCTTTTTCTTTTTTTTTCCGAAATAAATGGATAACCTGTTACGTACTTGGTAGTGTGTTTCTGGAATTTTTTAAATTAATTAGCAAGACTTTTTTTTTTTAATATATACTCTATGAAAGAACATACCACATTCTATCCGTAAAAAATTTCAAAAAAAAAAAAAAAAGTGCGAGACACTGCTTTTTTTTTTTTTTTTTTTTCAATCACCTAATAGCCAGTTGCCACATCACTTACCCCAATTGATCATGTCACACTTTGCTTCCAAATAAATGAGAAATATGTTGTAATAACAAGCCAAAAAAAAAACTTATTTCCAAAGGTCATTGTTAGTTAAAACCATTTTGCCTGGCATTAAATTCACAAATTTCACTGGTCTCTATCATATTGGGTAGGATTGCCCCCACAGAGAGAGCGGAAGCTAATTAGATCCTAAAAAATCTGGCGTATAGATGGAGAAGAAGAGCTCTACCCCAGAAAGATTCAATCATAATCTCAGAAACCTCCCCAAATCCCAGGTAACATAGCAAAAAATTCTCTCTCTTCGGCTCCTCAATCAACTTTTATTTGTTGACTCATGGGTTTTTTTTCTTCCTAGATTTACAAGCCCAAAAATGAACCATTCGAGAAAGTGATTAAGCCAAGCCCAAAAGAGGGAACAAGATCTGATGAAGCGTCAAAGAAAGCAGATTCATCTGGCACCATCCAAAGTCAAACAGAGGGTTTTTTGAAGGTGGAGCACAACACCAACACCATCACCAGACAAGGTACAAATTCCACACTCTATGATTGTAATTGCACTATTCTATTCATGGTCATGGGTGTGCCCAATTTTGGTAGGACACTCCCATCATTTTGGCTAGTTTGTGGGTTGAGGACTTTTGAGTAGAATGTGGGAATGACTTTTGTTACTTATCTTTTGTTTTTGTTTTTTCCCAAACCAGAAACAAAAAGGTTAAGCAAAAACTAAAGCAGGATTGTGTTTTGGCCGTTTGTAATCACTTCATTTATTGTTCTATATAATTTTCTTTCCAGCTCTCTGCAAATCTGTCACTTTCTGTGGGATTTTTTTTATCCTAAGGAGAGGATAAGTTTTTTATTTTTATTTTTATTTGTTTATTTTTTAAAAAAAGAAAAGAAAAGAAAAAAGAATTCCTTCATATTTTCTTTCTGTCATCATAAACTAAACAAAGATGGGAGGGAAAGGATTTTTAAAATATTTTCTTCCCTTCTTTGTTTGATAACTTTAGTGAAAGAAAGAGTCATCCTAGGTACTCTGTTGATCAGGATAATATTTTCTAACTATTTCTGATAAAAAAAAAATTTGGCTTTCATGGAGCATATGTGTAGACCTTCTACTAAAAAAAAAGGAATAATTATTTTTTTAATCAATTAAATCTATGAAGTTTACTCATAATCTCTCTCCCTGTTCCAATGATTTCAAAGTGGACTGATAGAATATTTTTTTACCATACTGAAAATGATAATATTCTTATTATTTCAATTTCAATGTATTACAAATTTACAATGCCTTTCTTGTAGAATTAACTGAATTCAATCTTATGTTTGACTTAGGTACTCCGGAAAGGGTATCATCGAAATCCCTTCTGTATGAGATCTGTGCTACAAACTATTGGAACCCCCCGGTCTTTGAATGCTGCAAAGAGGAAGGACCAGACCACATGAAATTGTGAGTCCATGGTGTACCATATTAAGAATTAATCTTAATTATTGCTCTACACTTTGCATTCAGAAGCAGCTTCAGGAGAGAATGACTTTTAACAGTACCAATCATAGGTACTGACCCTTTTATATAAAATTTCTCATTCATTGATGTTGATCCTTTAGTCTCATTTTTGCTTGAAGCTGCTTCCAAATAAACCCAAGGGACTTGTTAGAAAGCATATGCTGTTGGGATAGACAAATTGAATGAATTGAGTGACCATGGATTTAGATAAAAGAAAATGTAGAAATAAATTCAAGAGGCCCATGCTTGGATTAAAGCATTAAGTAGATTTTTTAGTTGGCTGGCCTGAATTTTTTTTGGTTTCCTATATATAAGTCCTAAGACTTCCTAGAACTTTATTACTATGAAATGCTTTTACTTTCTTTGTTTCTTTTTCTTTTTTCGGGGGAATTGTAGGTTCACTTTCAAGGTCACAGTTGAGATAACAGAACCCTCAGTTACGGTTTTGGAGTGCTTTGGCGCCCCTCAGTCGAAGAAGAAAATGGCAGCTGAGCATGCAGCTGAGGGGGCACTGTGGTGCTTAAAGAATTTAGGCTTTTGATTGATTAATGACTTGGATCAGTACATAATTACTAATTCACTGCTTTTGCTTCCTTAATTTCTGCTTATGTTGTATTTCTTTATGTAACCATGGTTGTTCAAGGATATTTATCAGCAATCTTTGTTCTTGTTGCCCGAACATGGTTAAAAACTTATGTTCTAACGGATGGAAATAGACCGTAAGCTAATCTCTGACTCTTTATGGCAATTGAATTGCTCTTGTTTCGTATAAAATATGTGTTATGCTTGATTTAGAAAGTTGTCTTCCAATTGCATAATTGAAACAAGAACCATATGTTTGCTGTTGAAGTGTGTGGTTTGCCTCTAAGAATCATCCATTGCCATCGAAGGCCATTCGGGACAAAAAGGGACATTGGATGGAACATGCATTCTTATGGTAAATGTCAGCCATGTTGAAGCTGTTTTGGCTGCTCACACCAATAATTCTGAAGGACAAGGAACCTCTCCAGCCAGATATCTTCCTGGACTCGGTAGACTTCAATCATGTGGTCCAGTTTCAGCCACGTCATTATCTGCCTATTCACACGAGGATAAGTTTTATTCTTTTGTACAAAGTAATTGCTCTATGACTCGAACATGTATTTTATGTTTAATCCAAGTTTATACCATTGTACTTGACACTTTTTTCAACTGATTCTGTTGTTGTCTGTTATTGACGTAACTAGACATTAAAAATTGCAATCCAAGAAGCCAAATTTAATCCGAGAATTTATAATTATCACACTTAATACATTGTACATCTTCAAATACCAATCCTTGTGCTAGTCCCCAAGAATTGAAAATAATTTTTTTTTTTTTTTGATAAGTAAAATTATATTAGAAAGCGTTCAAGAGGGGAATGCGTCCCAAGAGCTATAGAAGAACCAAGAGCAAAAGAAAAGAGAACACCAAAGGATCCAAAGACCCCACCTAAGGATCCAAAGACCCCAAAAAGTTCAAAAACTCCTCTACAAAAGAACAATCTCTCCCTGTACCTCAACTAAAGAGAGAACAAATAATAGAATACTTAAGAGCCCCAATGGGTAACTTCTCCCCAACAAAAGATCTTCTATTGCGTTCTTTTCAGAGACACCACCAAATGCAAAGGGGAGTCGCCCTCCAGAAGTCGCAAACACGAGCCCCCACCCTTTGCCCCCTCTAAATATCAATAAGACTCTGTGAGGTCCGAGGCATAACTCACTAAATGCCAAAAGACCCAACATAAGGCTCCAATAGTCATAAGCCATTGGGCAGTGCAAGAGAAGGTGGTCCACAGACTCTCTATCGGTCATACATAGACAACATCGATTAACAATGACATGTTTTCTCTTCCTCAAGTTGTCCCTCTTGCCCCAAGCAGCAGTCCAAGCAAAAAAAACCCACCCTAAGAGGAACCTTCGAATTCCAAACTGTTTTCCATGGATAAGAAGGGGCCTGAAAACTGGAAAGGCAGAAGAAGAAAGACCGGACCTGAAAAGTCCTCTGCAAATCCTTTGTGAAGAAGGCACCCAAGTCAAAAGGTCCGCCCCAGTGCCATCCACCTCCTGTCGATACAAAAGGTCCAATAAGCCAGTAACATCATCTAGCTCCTAATCCTGAAAGACTCGCCGGAACCAAACATCCCAAGACAACCTACCGCTATCAAGGTGATAGCAGTCGGCAGCCAAAGCATGGCAATCCACAGCAATCCTGAACAACCTTGGAAACCATCGACACAATGGACATTCCTCGCACCAAGGATCCTCCCAAAACCGGACACTCCGACCTTCCCGGACTCTAAATCTAACATGCTTAGAAAACTCATCCCATCCCTTCCCAATAGAATGCCACACACCCACGCCGATAGCAGATCTAGCTGGTCTAACATACCAACCCCCTCTCTCCTTCCCAAACCGACAAGCAACGATATTCCTCCAAAGTCTATGTCTTTCACTGCCAAACCTCCAAAGCCACTTGCCAAGAAGGGCCCTGTTGAAAGGGGCCAATCTCCGAATCCCAATGCCTCCTGACTTAAAAGGCCTACAAACATGCTCCTACCGAACAAGATGATATTTAAACTCCTCCCCCTACCGCCCCAAAGGAAGTTACGTTGAATCATCTTAGTGAAAATGTTTTCATTAAATTCAAGAGGGTCAAGATGACCGATACAGGTGATTATTGAGTTCTATGTGAATGCATACCATATTGAATTACACAAATTTGCAAATGACATTTATATTCATAATTCTATTAAGGAGCCACATACAAAAATATCTCATAAAACAATCATGAAACCAGACATGATGCATGGTAGATTGCTAAAATAAGAATGCTAAGGTGGAAATTTAGAGAGAGCTGAAATAATTGAGATGAGATCAAATGATTTGAACCTATGCAATATAAATATGGTTTACACACTGAAACACATGGTAAGTGTAGCTACTCAAAAGCAACAATCAGATTAACAGGCTAAACAAATATTGGTTACACCATTGGAAAATTTTGTAATAAAGTAGTATTTCATACAAAGAAAAGTTACTAGACACTCCTAGTTCTATGACCTCCATTTCCAACAACGGATCGTTTATCGCCAATCTCGCCCGTTGGATTATTCGCAGTCCTTCCATCGTCATCCTCCACGAATCAAAAATGAAAACAGAAAAATGAAGACAAAAAATAGCTTCCTATTTCTTATTTCCTTTTCGCTCTTTTGTTGCAACTTCCTTTAATACCAACCAAACTTTGTCATCCTCTAGCTCCTTTAAACCGTGTAGTGCTGTTGAATGGTCTCAATGTCAAGACCCTTGAGCTTCACCACTGATTCAACATGTCCCTTGAGTGTATGAAGCTCCCTAAGCCTGAAAATGTGATAGGACACACACACACACACACACAAACATATTACAAGCAAAACAATGAGGTAAAAGCTTCAAGTATGATCAAAATTTAGTTTTTACCAAACAAATCTCTCAGTGATAATTACCTTGCAACTTCAGCGCGTCTCTTAGCTTGTTCAGCAATTTCAGACAATTCCCGGTAGTTGTTCTTTTCAGTAAAGAGATTTGATGCATCTGCAGGAACAAGACCGTGCAGCGAACGTTGAGCCACAGCCCATTGTGCCTCTCTCTCCCCCTTTCCATAATCCTTTTTGGTTGTGAATGCAGTCTGGATAATTGGTCACAAGAAAAGAAATCAACCAAACATGGCAAAAAAAAAACTTTGGATGAGCCATGAAATGCATTCAAGTTCATAAACTGCTAAGTACCTTATTCTGGAGCATATTCTCCCAGGCCTTGCCACTCAAGGCATATCGGATGATAAACTTAAAAATGTCTAGTGGGAAGTAGAAGACGATACTGTAGAGCCAAATAACTCCGGCCCAACCCCAGCCAATGCCATGCATCCTCGCAAAGTTCCAGTTTGCATACACAGCTATTATTGTAGCCAGCTTGATCAATTCACAAAAGCTAGTGTCATAACTTTACAGTGAATGAGAACTGTATCAGGAACTTGAATGAAGTTTTGTACTACTCACCAGCTGTGCTAGAATGAAGGCAGTCACAAGCAGAAGGCCGGGACGTTCAATGAAGGACCAGCTCCTGGACCGAGTAACAAAGATAAGTGCCTGACTCACAATACTCACTTGCAGGTAGACAGCTGCTGTAAGCTCGCCGTGGTTGTCCCTGATTGATCTTACACCAAATGCATCCTGCCAAAGTAATTAAGATACACAAAAGGACAATGTGAAAAAAGTTAATGGGAGTTCAACAAATACTCTTTTTGAGGATTATGTAACTAAAAGCAGACAGCATTCTCTTACAGAAAAGAAGTCAGACTCTTGAGCAGCCCAGAAGAAAATAACAGTCATGACAGCTAGATAGGTGCCAAGAACAATGCCAGTGGCGAAAATCTCTTTCAGCTTCCACGAGTCGGGCATGGGAGATGGCTTCACCTTGTCTTTAGAAATGGTCATGATGGTTCCATCATTGAGAATGGCAATGATCAGGACCATGAAAGGCGAGAAATCAAATTTCCAGATGAGTGCAAGGAGCATGAAACCAAGAACAATACGGATTGTGATGGAAACAGCATAGATGGTGTAATTCTTCATCCTTTGGAAAATGGCTCTGCTTGTCAAGACAGCACTCACAATCACACTCAGTCCTGGCTCCGTCAGGACAATGTCAGATGCACTCCGGGCTGCATCTGTTGCATCATCCACTGCAATTCCAATGTCTGCCTTCTTTAAAGCCGGTGCATCATTCACACCATCTCCTGTCATCCCGCAGATGTGCTTTCTCTCTTGTAGTTTCTTTACAATCTCATACTTGTGCTCTGCATTCCTCCCCCCATTAGTGCAAGTAGAAATTATACACTTTCTTTTTTTCCTTTCAAACATAGCAAATATTTTCCAAAATGGAGAGAGATTTGGAAAAGGAGAAAAAACAAAGTTCGACAATCTCATTGAGATTTTCCAAAATTATTCACAAATTTAACCATAATTCCTAATTTTGAATCATTCCAGCAAGGAATACTATTCAAAGCCTACCTTATTATGTTCACTAGTTGCAGTAGACTCGAGAAACACAACCTCATAAGATAGAAGGATTTAGTTTATTTACCTGGGAAGACACCTGCAAAGCCATCAGCCTTCTCAATGAGCTCATCAACTGGGAGGTTGGCTACACTTTCATCCTTGTTCTGGCCGAGGAGGGAGGAAGAGGGATACATATTGGTTCCCATGCCTAGCCTTCGACCTGTCTCCTTGCCGATGGCTAGCTGGTCACCAGTTATCATCTTAACATTGACACCAAGGTTGAGTGCTCGGCGAATGGTCTCTGCACTGTCATGTCTTGGAGGGTCAAAAAGAGGCAAGAGACCAACAAATATCCATGGCCCTCCTGCACTCTCCTTGGTTTTCTCTGGAACTGTCTGTAAAGAGAGAGAGTACCAACAGATCAAGTTCCGTTCTATGCAACATTGCTTCATTGATCAAAACCAATACAGTGATAGAAGAATGCAAACAGACCTGTTGTGCTACACCAAGAGAACGAAGGCCACGATCAGCAAACTTATCAATGATGGCATGAGCTTTCTGTTTCACATCTCCCTTAAGGTTGCAGAGCTCAATAATCTGGTGGAGATTACGACAAATAGGAATATAATAAAATCGAGAGTATACTGAGAAGAAATGGAAGGGTTAATCTGGATTTTCTGGATGATTACCTACCTGCTCAGGTGCACCTTTGCTAACTCGGTGCCAATTGCCACTAGAGTCTATGTAGGTAATGGCCGTCCGCTTTTCCACTGGGTTAAAAGGCAGGAAATGCACCTCGGTGATCCCTGCTCTAGCCTGCAGAACACAAGGTACCAAAACAGAATAAACTCAAGTTCGTTTATTATTTATCTAGAAATGAAGATCGGCATATATCTAATGTTTTTTTTTCATGAGTGATTTTGGCAAGAAGAATAGTCTAGTAGAGATTGTTGCAGCTGACAATTCTGTTAAATAGAACTAGTACTGTTTTAAATTATGAATGAACATTCTTTTCTTCCTTTTCTGTGTGGAGTGATGGTCATAAAAGCAAAACCAATATGAAGAACATACATGACAATGGTGATTGAGATTTAGAGGGAAACAATCAATTTACTTGTTCTCCTTTTGATTCCTTTTAGCTCATTAACATCGAATAAGTTGAATATCGTTCATCTACTGGCCCTATGTACTGAAACATGTTTTTCAGCTCAGTGAGATTACCTCTTTGGGATCAGCTAACATTCCCACAATACAAGAGTCAATAGCATCTTGATTCTCTACCCTAGAAGCCCTTGCACCGAGCAGAATTACACCTTCCTTGTCCACATCTGGTGTAAATACCTGCATATTAACATCTTAATTCCAGAACCAAATGAATCAATAGAAATCAAAGTAACTAAATCCCATACTTTCTGATCAGTTCTTTCTCAAATTGTTTCTCAATATTAGATCTTTATTTATTCCATAAGCACTATCCGAAATGTTCATAAGCTGTTCATTCACGTCAACTTTAATTAGTTACCAACCTCAATCAGGGTTTTGTCTACTGTGAGCTTGTTGAGGGTGAGAGTCCCAGTCTTGTCACTACAAAGGACATCCATTCCAGCCATCTCTTCGATAGCTGTCATCCTCTTGGTGATAGCTCCTTGCTGTGAGAGCCGGTGGGATCCAATGGCCATCGTCACTGACAACACTGTTGGCATTGCAATTGGAATGCCTCCAATTAGAAGCACCAACAAATTATCAATTCCATTCCTATACTTGCGGTGCTGCATTGGGAACATCACCACCAACTCTATTACGATTCCCACCGCAATGGAGCATATACAGAAGTTACCAATTGCTGTCAACACCTGCTCAAATCATCACCATCCAGTGAAAGTTAGCGAATAGGCTAAATGTTTGATGCTGCTATGATCTAGATAGTTTTTTTTTTAATTGTTCGGTTCTATTTGAATGCGTAACACTTCTGTTTCTTACCATCCAATCAGATAAACTTCATCAGGAACAATTCGAGAATTTCAAAAATCAAAATCGTGTTTCGCATTAATTTTAAATTTCTAGTACTCACCCAGCAAACAATTTGCAAATTGGTCACCATGGTGAGTAACATAATATAGTACCTTCTGGAAATGGCCTACTTGATTGGTGCTATCCACAAGGTGTGCAGCTTTACCAAAGAAGGTGTGGACACCGGTGGCAATGACAATGGCCTCAATCTCACCTTGCTTGCATGTTGAACCAGAGAACACTTCGTCGCCTGGGTTCTTTGTTACAGGCAAGGACTCACCAGTAAGAGCAGATTGGTCGATCTTAAGTGCATCCCCTTCCAGGAGACGGGCATCTGCAGGGACAATGTCTCCCAACTTGATGCTTACTATATCACCTGGTACCAGGATTGCTGCTTCTTGCTCACACCATCTTCCATCTCTCAAAACCTTAATCAGTCAGCAAGAAAACCAAACTCGTATTATCATGTACTCAATATTTTTATCTAACAATCTCCTTTCTTTCCGTTTTTTGGTTAGGTAAGTACTCACGCACACATTTCACAATTTGTCCCCTACGGGACTCAAACCCCTCACACACACATTTGGTTAGGTAAAGTACCTTTGTTTTGGGAGCAAGACCAGCCATTAGTGCTGCTGCAGCATTACCTGCATTATTTTCTTCTATAAAGCTTATGGTGGAGTTGATGAAAAGCAATGACACTATTCCAATAAAATCTTGCCAATCTGGAGGCTGACCCTGCAATATTTCATTGATATTAGAAACACACACACAAACACACACACACACACACACACACACACTCACAGAGAGAGAGAGAGAGAGAGTTACCCCTCCATTTGCCAGAGCAATGGCCATGATGGCAGCAATCTCCATAACCCATGACAAAGGATTCCACATAAAACCCAAGAATTTAAGAAACTTGCTTTCCTGTTTCAGTGTTCTTTTTTTAATGATTAGTTTCATCGCTTGTACTAATAATGAATATTAGAGAAGAAGAATGAAAATACTCAGACAGAAAACTTTACCTCCTTCTCCTCTAGCTTGTTTGGACCAAAAATTTGGAGCCTTTTCTGACCTTCCTCACTTGATAATCCCTCTCTTGAACATTTCAACTGTTCGAATACCTCCTCAACCGGTATACGCTCCTGCATAAACATAAAATCATTAAATTATTTATTTTTTACAACTTCTCAAGACAATTTGAATGAACCAGATTTTGAATTTAAACCATATTTTAATCACCAAATATTACATTTCTTCTGTAGAACACGAATTATGCTAGTTATATAGCCAAAAACAATCTTAATCTTATTTTGATATTAGTATAACTAAGGTTTCTGATATGTAACAAAACTAACTTGAGAAGAAGAGCTCTGAAATGGGGAAATTTGATCAAACAGTACGCTAACAAAATTCACATATGGATTCTATTGAAAGAACTTAGATCCTATTATGTGCCATTTCATCTGTAGTGTGTCTCGTTTTGTGTCATTACATCGTTTATGCAATATCTTCGCATCACTTATACAACAACTACTTTGCATTACTTTTGCGACAACTTTTTTGTTATATCTGTTGCATTGTTGCCTTCTCAATGTGAGGAACGAGGCACAAGATCCCCTCCACAAGAGGGGACCCGGATTCCTATTAAAAATATTTTTGAATTTGATGCATCCACAAAAAAACAAAACTAAAATCAGTATAAACAAAAAATGAAAAATGAATTTTTGTGTGTATTTGACAAGAGATTTGATATCAATAATTACAAATTAACCATGCATAAAAAAAAATAAAAAAAATAAAAATTCAAATTAAAGAAAAATATGAAAAGGGGTCATACAAGATCCACGTTCTCATTCTTTATTTCTTCCAAGCTGATGCTTTTGTCCGCCATCTTCTCTCTCTACACTTCCTCTCACTACTACACACACTTTCTCTCTGTGTGTGAAAATATTCAGAAAAAAACCAGAAATGGAAATGCCAAACAACAATTAGCTTTGCATGTGCATGGAAGACTCATTGTGACAAATTCAAATCTCTGTTTCCCCATGTATTACTCTGTTTTTATTCTCTCTCAGAAACAATTTCCATAAATAGTATGTATATATATAGCAGTGACTCACTCACAACCAAAACTCTAATGAACGAACGAGCGGGAGTCTTGTCCCAGTAGCCTCGGTCATTTCGGTTAGAGAGAACCGGTGCTATTCACACAGTCTTCACTCACTATGTGAACAACAAAGCCCAATACTATTAGCCCACGTTGTATTATGGTTTCTACTCGCTATAATTTTATCTAATCTTTATTATGTGTCTTCTTATGATTGGGTTGTGAGGTCATTAAGTCAAAAATATATGGTACAAATTCTTTATGATACTATTAATACAATTACATTGATGGTTACAGTTAAATAGTTGGATTCTTTGAGTGATCTTCATAATTGTACAGCAATTTCTTGTTGGGTGAAAACTTTAAAAATTAAAATATAAGGTGAAAATCAATTATTTCAATAGTAGGAAGAATTATAATTGAAAGGTGGTAAAAAGAAATGGAAGAGATCTCATGAAAGATGAAGAACATCTTTCATGAGAGAATGAAATACATATGTTACCATTAGTCCATTAAAAATAAAGTAATACCATATATTATTATTTTTTGGCCTATCTTTAATAAACATTTTCAGTCAAATTTAGAATTCCGTAAACTCTTTTTCAATATTTAGGTTTGTCAATAGATTAGGTTTTTAAATTCGAATCCGATTTGACAAGTCATGATATGAATTGAACATTTAATTTGATATCCCATTAATTATTTGATTCTAATAATTATTTAGAGATAAATCTTATTCGATCCTGACATGATATATATATTTATTATATTATGCTATAATATATCCATATTACCAAAAAAAAATTATTATATCATTATTTTATCTTCTTCTTTTCCCCTCTCTATTTTGGTGTTTTTTATTAATTTAACAAGTAATGAAAAGTCTATTTTCCTTCTTCTTTTTCATCCATAATTTATTTGTCTTCTCCCCCTTATCATTGTTTGTGTATCTCTTTTGATATTAAATTTTCATAAACAAAAATGACAACCTAAATGAATCAGGTTATGAAATTGGATATCCTATCAATATCTAATACGGAGTATTACAATTTTTTTAAAAAAAGAGATGATTGTACTAAAACAATTTTAACCCTAACTTTATAAATTACTAATTATTAATTTTTTAAATATCATAATTACCCTTTCAATTATGGTAAGATCTTATTGTCTCCCTTTCAGTTATTGTCTCCTCCCTCGACACTTGCATTGTATTAACTTTTTCTTCTCTTTCATTAGGGTTTGAATTTATCCTTGTAAATAACATTGGAAGATCTGGCAAGTGAAGAAATAACAAAGTTGAATGAAGTAACTAACCGTGTTAGCATGGGAAACATTGAAGAACTATCAAAACTTCACCAAGGGACAAGGGCCTTATGGCTTAGTAATATCTCCTTTATCTCTTAAAATGAATGGTGAGAGTTTAAATCCCAAAAGAACAAAATGAATGTGAATTGAGAAAATCATTTGTGGTACAATGCAAATGAATAATATGTTTCTCCTCCTAATGACATGAAATTTTTTGGGAGGCTAATACTAATAGAAAACTACCTAGTAAAAGTACTCCTAGTAAAAAAAGTACTCCTAGTAAAAGAAAAGGAGGATTGAGGAATGTTTTACTTAAGAAAAGAAGAGAATAAAGTACAAAAAAAAACACCCTCATTATAGAGCATATTACCCTTCCGTTTGGTGCCGTTATATACTTAAGGGGCGTTTTTGAAAGAGAGAGAGGGAAATTTTGGGGTCAAAATGTGGGATATGGCACGTTTGGTGTGCAAGAATGGAATGGAATGGAATGCAAGTGGGAATGGAATGAGAATGTGAATTGAATGAAATGACCATTCTCATTCTATTATTTGGTTGTAAATATGAAATGTGTAAGAATGGAATGATAATAACCATTCTATTATTTGGTTGAACCAATTTAAAATTTAGAATGGAATAAATTTCTAATTAAATTCTTCAAAATATCCCTCTTAGTAACAAATAAATCAAATTAACAAAATGACATTCTCTAATAATTTTTAAAAATCAATGGTGGCGGTAGTGGATGGTGGGAAGCGGTAGTGGTATAAGTGGTGGTGTTATAAGGTGACGGTGGTGGTGGTTTGGTGGAAGGCGGTGGCAGTAGTGTGGTGGTTGTGGTGGAAGGAGATAGTGATGTGACTATGGTGGTGGTGGAAGGCAGTGGAGGTGGCAGTGGTGGAAGGTGGTGACGATGGTGGTGGTGAAAGGCAGTGGCGGTGGTAGAAGGCAGTGCCGGTGGTGGTGATGGAAGGTGGTGGAAGGCAATGGCGGTGGTGGTGTTGGTGTAAGGCGGTGGCAGTGGCGGTGGTGGTGAAAGGCGGCCTGTGGTGGTGAAATGTGGTGGCAGTAGTGAAAGGCTGTAACGTTTTCGGTTTTCAGCAATTTTCAATTTTCTGAAAAATTTGTTGATACAAGGGTGATTCTGTCTTTTCACATGTTGCGTACAGGATTGTAGTTGGGTCCATTTGCATTTTGTGCAATTTAATTTATATAGTTGTGTGACATTTATATGGTGATGTTTAGCCATGTATATGTGGTGTGGGATTAAAAAACAAAAGAAAAAGAGAAAACAAAAAGAAATTGTGGGACCCACCACTTCCATCCAAAGTGGTCTAGAGACCACATTTTGTCTCTCACATTCCTCACTCCCGTAACTCTCTCTCTCACTTTTCTTATCTTGCATTTTCTTTTTCTTTTTCAACCAAATCTTTGAAGCAAGATTTCTCTCTCAATACTTGGTGGATTAAGGTGCCGTTTGAGGCAAAATGGAGAGCACGACGAGCTTTACGCATGAGTACCATCAATTTCAGCTTTTGGCCTTCGAATTTAGAGACCCATTTCAAGGGTTTTGCTCAATCTAAAGGTAGGGGCTCTTAATTCATAATTTTCTTGCTTCTATGTGAATTACATCTTCTAAATTATTGCAAGACATGCTTATTTATGCTAGTTGTATTTTAAAGTAGTTAGAACATGTGTATGTGGTTATGTGAGAACTTGTATTAAATGTTTTATGTGGAAAACTTACCTATGTGATGATTTAAATATGTTTGTTATGCTAGATGTATTGTTGTATAAGAGCATGTTGATATTTCTTGAGAAATTCTTGTGAAATTATGCCTTGCTTACTTAAATTGAGTTGGTTGTGAAATGATGAATATATTCATGGTATTGATGCACTTGTGCACTTACATTGGGCATGAAATGGGAGAATTTGTTTTGAAACAAAAAGGGAGAATTTTGGGAAAGTGATTTGATGAAATGGCTTTGTGAAAACCCGGTTGCCGCGGGGGTACCAAAGGGCCGGAATATTAATATAGCCTAGAAGGGACTAGGGAGTCGCCCTAGCGTGATTGAGCTAGCTGGCCCCATAATGACGCCGCAGGGGTACCAAGGGTCAGTGACACTAGCCAATCCTCCTCTCGTGTCGCTGCGGGGTCACCAAAGGGCGGGTTATATTAACAGTTTGAAAGAGATGGTTTTAAGAAAATAGAATGGGGAGCGACAT